ATCGAATGAATCTTTTGTTTTGTTAGCGTGTGCTAGCGAGACTGTTTGCGCTGGGGAGACACCGATTGGATATATTTCGAGAAACCAAGAGACCAATGCGCAATTCTATACGATCGGCAATGATGGCTCCCGGTCGTACGGTTTGGGCACCTGTGGGTGCGTGCCCATGGGGCCGGCCATGAAACTATGGCTGTGGAGTTGCAAGGAGTGGCCGGCAGATACAGCGGTCAATTACGGCAGCATCACCACCTTGCCCTACTGTACCAGACTCAACTACTGCTTCTCTTTTGGTCAGGCACTTTCCATGGACGTGGTCAGTCGAAACTCTTTCTACTCAACAATCCTTCCGCTGTCAGCACATCTTAGGAGAGGTTCAGGGAAGGCTGACTCAAAAAATCTTATCTTCCACATTCTTGGGGTTTTTCTTTTTCTCACCAAAAACATCAAAAAAAAAAAAAAAATCACACAGTCTCAAAAAGCCAAGGTCTGTCAGGGATCCCAGACGGTAGGGTTGCTCTATTCGACTGGCCAAGCATTGCCTGCCTCAGGAAACTCGAAGGACATGGTCTCGGGATGCTCTTGTTCCGATCCGGAGACCGGGAAATCTTCGGTCTTCACTTGTGACGACCCAAAGGCTATGAAAGCGTTTGGCCAGGCCGATAAAAGTAACCCTTTCGTTTGCGTGAACCCGTTGAAAGCATGCTCAGGCTCCGAATCAGATCCCCCTTCCCTAGGCAAACCTAAACCATCAAATCGATGATGTGTACTATTTAAAAATCCTCTCAAGTGAACCTTCCATGTATTCTTTTTTTTCTTCTTTCTTTCTCTGTTCCTTTTAACACTTCATTTTCTGTATTCAAAGACCACTTCGGTGCCCATGTCAGTACAGCCAATTTGTTCATGAAATCCAATCAAGTGTGAATGTATAAAGACATTATCATGCAACAAAGAGGTGTGCGCAATTTCTTCTGTGAGGAATTAGAGACAGAGAGAATAGGTGGGTCACTGTTATAGTATTGCCTCTTCAAGTTTTGATCAAAGACATAATCCAGCAAACTGCTCATTTCTAAACCGAGCTCACATTTCTCAGCACAATCAGATCACTGGTAAAACCAGCACCCTATTCCAAGCTTCCTTTTGACAGCAACAGGCCATTATGATAGGTTTTGAAATTTGCCCGAACAGTTAGAAAATTACTAAAAGCTAGTGGAAATTTTCATGGTTGTTATCTTGGGCTATTTTGATCAATTGCATGGAACCACCATTGTATTCTTATTGGTCTGCACATTCGGTCTGTGTTTCTACCACCGATTTCAGGCTATTTGGGGTAAATTTCCCTCGTTTGTTTCAAGCTTGTAAGTAACCTTTATCAGCAGAGCTGAATAGGTATGATTTACCTCCTAGCTGAGCCTGAACGCACTTGTACCATCTTGCTCAAACTGTTGACAGTCGTCACGCTCATGAATCCCTAGTTGAAACAGTCAAGCTTCATTTTTTTCTTTGCTACTGAGTAAGAAAAGCTCAAGAAGTTATGACAAGCGCACGCGGTTGCAACGAGTCAGATCGACACTCCATCACCTATTGCAAACTGCCCAGAATTACCGCAGTTTCAACCTCTTATCCTTCTACTTGTGATTGAATTGTGAATCAATACTTAGCATGTCTCATGTCGCTCACAACCGGATAAAGCCGGGCAAAGTGTGACCTAAAATCCCTAGAACTGTTCTCTCTTCATTTGAGGGGCAAGCAATATGAGATTCTATACTGTTGGATTTTGTTGGATCTATCTTCTAAGCAGTCCAGTATTACTCCTCACAACACTTCTACCTGAAATTCAAGATAGTGGAAAGCTTGTTCATCAGCCCCACTTGCAGTTTGATTTGAATCGGGTGCCGGTTGATGATTGTTCCAAGGAGATACCTCCATTGTCATTTCAACCGCTTTCATCCTTAGCAGCTTCAAGCCCAGATCTCACCTCCCAGAAAGATCAAGCAGCACTGCGGTCACCGGCTAACATCCAGAAGCCCATTCCGTTCAAGGATGATATTAAATCTAGTCGCCACAAACGCAAGAATGAGCTTTCCTCAAAACCAGATGGAAAGAGATGCTGGTCGGCGCGAGCAAGGCAGCAACCCCTTCCAGTACACAAACCTCACGTTAAAATAGAAACAAGTGTAAAAAGAACGCCTTTAAAGTCCAAAAAAAATCTGGGAAACATAAAGGGAAAAGGCCTGAAATCAAAAACAAGAACGGAGAATTCAACAGAATCAGCAAACTTTGATGGATTCGCAGAATCAGGAACGAACCAAGAAAGAAGTGAATTGCTTGATATTCGTGTTTCCAATTTTCTGAAATTAAACCCAGAAAAGAAAGCCACCAATGCTTATCCAATAGCCCATCAAGACATTAAGCTCCATCAGATTCTCACCATTCTCAATAATTGCAAGAAGAAGATTCACCGCGATGAGTTTTTCTGGATACCAAGATGTGATGCTTTGAGGATTCTTCACAAATATCAACGATCAGACCGTAGCATTCCATTCCCTAAAGAAATCATAGAAAACCACAGAAAGAAAGGACTCCTTGAAGTTAGCATATGTTTATCAAATAAACGAATTGGTCTGGACGGTCATTCAGTCTTCACCAAAGATATCTTGGGAAGACTAACTTCGAAACTGGAATTGAAGTTAAAGAGATTTCCCAAACCAACTTTTGAAATCCAAAGGAGATTTCGCAGTGCAATTCAATGCATACAGGATTTAACAAAGAGCGCCACATTCTTGGTTATAGTCTATCTTGCTTTATTCCAAGAACTCAAAGAGAATAAAATAACAAGTGGGGAAGTTGAAGAGATCTTGAATGTCTTTGGAAAGCTTTGGATGGATATTGAAGAAGGTGGACCAAATTTGACTCAACATGTTAGTTGGAAAAATAAGGTGGAAGAGGTCTTAAGTTTAGAAAGTCATAGTCATTTATTTAACCAGCGGTCTAAGGATGTCTACCAGATGTCCTGGAATTTTGTGGAATATTACATTGAATTGAAGGGGAAGAAATTGGAAGAGGGTTCTAAAGATCCAAAATTCTATCGTGCAACTTTACATGCATTGATTAACAAGATACTCTTTTATAACAACTATGATTACTTTTCCAAGTTCATAATAAAAGGGGCATTCAAAGAAGATCAGACAGAAAAATCTTTTTAATATTTCACCAATGAATTTTAATTTTGGTTCAATCAAACCATTACTGAGGTTTGTCAATTATCTGAAATTGAAGCCTCCCAATAATCATACCTTGTTTTATTATTATTTCCTTCTCAAATCTTGCCTGATTGACTATAAGTTTTCATTGTGCTTGTTCATGGTCAAGACTAAATATTTGTTTGATATTCAATATGTGTACCACAATGGGTTGATTCCATCATAAAAATAGTACTCATTATTGTATGTGTTTTCTTCTGTATAACTATCAAGAGATGAACTGGGTAAAAAGCTGCATATTTACATTATCAACAGAAACAAGTCATTCAGTGGAGCAGTTTCTTGGCCTGCTGCACTGATCTCAAAATTAGTTGTCAACATGACCACTTGCACTATTTGAGCTCTCTGGAAAAAAAAATATTGTAGCAGCAATGGGCGGCTACACTAAACTACACTATATTAAATGTCTCAATAACATTAGTGTATCAGCCCTCAAAACTGCACACCAACCCCATGGGCCGTAGTGATAGTGCACTGTTAATACCATTACACCCTGCTACAGCACTTTTAGCGGCACAAAAGGCCAAAAAACTGCTAAAACACTCTGCAACACAGCACAGTGGGCCCTTTTTGGTTGCCAGCATGTGTAGCATTAGCATACTTGTAGCAGAAATTCACTACACTATGCTGAATGTTAGCAGAATTCTGGTATGTTACGCTGCACTAATGCTACTATTGGAGTAACTGGACCATCATTGATTGTAGTGCACAAATTTCAGCAGCCATGTAGCACAAAAACCTTTAATCCATCTGTTTTGCAGTAGAATTATACTACAATAGTGGTAGTGCTGTGGTTCTCAAACCACTTATCTACGTACACAGGGAAAAAGTAGTAAAAATGGGAAGAAATGAGAATTAAAGAAAAAGAAGACATGATGACAAAATAGCATAGAATCTCATATTGCTTACTCCTGAAATGAAGAAAGAACAGTTCTAGGGATTTTAGCTCACACTTTTTCCAGATTTATCTGGTTGTGAGCAACATGATCAGACATGTGAAGTGTTAATTTACAATTCAATCTTAAATAGCATGATCAAAGGTTGAAACTGCAGTAATTCTGGGTGGTTTGCAATAGGTGATGGAGTGTCAATATGACTCATTGCAACTGTGTCCGCTTGTCATGACTTCTTGAAATTTCATTACCCATTATCAAAGAAAAAAACATAGCTTGACTGTTTCAACTAGGGGTTATCTGCAAGTAGTACCAGTTGGAAAGCCTGCTTGTAAATTAGGCAGTCACTTTTTGCAAAACTTTTTTTTGCATCAATGGGCTTCAAAATGGGTTAAATGAATAACCAGCATGTTTGAAAAAGGGTGGATTTTTTTTTCAAACCAGTCAATTAAATAATGGTAGATTTGGTTATATTCAATACCCCCTATTTAGACTTGGTAGGATCAAACAGCATGGTTAATTTGGAAATGAGAGAGGTATAAGAGCAACTCCAAATCACAACAGGAAGTCCCCCAATGTGTCCTACTTGGCCTTTTTTATTTGATGATTTTGGTTGCTCCAATGTAGAGATCGTTCGTCGGTACCCGTTGCTAGGTACCTAGTACCGCTCGGCGGGTACCGCCCGCACCCGCCTCGCACCCGCCAGGCGGTGCCGGGTGCGGTGCTGGGTGCCGGTTTTTTGGCAAAAACAAGGCGGTACCCGGGTACCGCCTTATATCCCTAACATAGGGGCATGTTCATGGAGGGGTGAAACCTCCCATGACAAAGGTTCTCTGTCATGGAGGAGTGAAACCTCCATGACTGAGGATATATCCTCGGTCATGGAGGAGTGAAACCTCCATGACTGAGTATGTATCCTCGGTCATGGAGGATTTGACTCCTCCATGACCGAGCGGCGAGGATACACCCTTGGTCATGGAGGATTTGACTCCTCCATGACCGAGCATACACCCTCGGTCATGGAGGAGTGAAACCTCCATGACTGAGTATGTATCCTTGGTCATGGAGGAGTGAAAACCTCCATGACCAAGGATACACCCTCGGTCATGGAGGATTTGACTCCTCCATGACCGAGGATACACCCTCGGTCATGGATGAGTGAAACCTCCATGACTGGTTTCACTCCTCCATGACTACGTATGTATCCTCGGTCATGGAGGATTTAACTCCTCCATGACCGAGGATACACCCTTGGTCATGGAGGAGTGAAAACCTCCATGTACCAAGGATACACCCTCGGTCATGGAGGATTTGGCTCCTCCATGACCGAGGATACACCCTCGGTCATGGAGGCTTTGACTCCTCCATGACCAAGCACCTCGGTCATGGAGGATTTGACTCCTCCATGACCGAGGATACACACTCGGTCATGGTTTTTTTCAGCTTCTTGCTGATGTTTCTGACTTTTATGAGCAACTTGCTGATGTTTTTTTTTGCTTTTTTTTAATAATTTTTTGGAACTTTTATAGGTAACTCTTGCTGCATTTTTTTCAGCACTTTGCTGATGTTTCTTTTCTGTTTTATTTTTTTTTCTTCTGGATTTTATTCTTCCAATTAGTTATTAGTTGTAGATAGATAAATATGAAAAAAAAAGAAAAAAAAGTGACTTGTCTGGCAGTGTCAAGTGAAATCAATAATTTTTAACAAAATGAAAAAGTGACTTGCAACTCTGGGAGTGACCACCAAAAATAATAAATAAATATGAAAAAATGAAAACAAGTGACTAAAAAATGAAAAAAAAGAATTGGGACTCTGGGAGAGAAAATAATAAATGTGAAAAAGATACAAAAAGTGAATTGGGACTGTGGGAGTGAATCTAGGTGAGAAAAAGAGGGGGGGGGGGTACCCGCGGTACCCGCCAAAAGTACCGCCGGTACCCGCCAGGAGGTTCCTGGTGCGGTACTTGGTACCTATTTTCTGAAAAAATTCAACAGGTACCTAGGTACCAGCAGGTACCCGAGTACGAACGAACGATCTCTACTCCAATGGTTTGTAATTTTCAAATTTGAGGTTCTCATGATTGATCACCTCCTGAAAATAAATGAAAATCCCACCCACCTGAAACCATTACATACCCACATGTGAGTTATTGGGTTAAAGGATCTGGAACAATTGTCAAGCCTGGAGAGACCAAGAGGCTAAGACACCCAGCAAGGAAACTCCAAAACAGTGTTGGAATACACATATGCTTATAGATCATATGTCATATGCATCAACCAAAACTTCAGTAATCTTGTATTTAGCTCCAACCAGATTACTACAGTTGTTTTTTCCCTAGTGAATCAAAACCATAACTTTCTCACTCACAAAGTGTCACTGGCTTGTCAGCCGTGAACTTTGGATCTTTCCCTTGCGTTACACGCAACAGGTTATGAGGCCCATTCGCTCAGCCTGCTCACGACTCCGATCTTCCCTCAACACTCGAAATTGTTACGACCTATCATCAAAACATTTCTCAAACAAAATTCAAGCTGTCAAAATGCCTGCTAGAACGACTCAAAATCCCTCGGCTCTCATCGGAAACGTTCCAGTCCTTGAAGGGAACTTGGTCGGCTTTCCGGCGTGGCAAACCCGTCTCGAGGAGCTGTTTGCCATCCAAAAGGTCCACGACATCGTCACTGGCAAACTTCTCCGCCCTGAGACCGACTACAAAGATAAAGACTCGAAGCCGGTTACTCAAGGATCACAGCGAGTCTACTACGCCGAGGAGTTGGGGACAGACTGGGACTGCCTGTCCGATGTGGCTCGAGCCACTTTGAAGATGACTCTTTTGGTAGATCTTGCGATTCGTTACAAGGACTTGAAGCCCGTCAACACTCTCTTCAAGACGATATGTGATGCCTACGAGAAAAACACCCGGGCTAGACGTATGATGCTACAGGATTCGTTTTGGTGCGCTAGGCACGACCCCAACCAGCCTATTGCGAAATGGATCGCCAAGATTTGGAACGCTGCCTCCGATCTAAAATCGGTGAAACTGACACCGGCTGACCAAAAATTTTGCAATCGATTGCTTCGAGGGCTGGACGACTCCTGGAAGCCAATCAGAGATCATCTCGTGTACTCACCTAACGAGATGTCTCTTGACGACGTGATTGGCGCACTTGAAGCACACGAAGTATCAAAGCAAGTGTCGTTCGATCATTCGTTGGATACTTATGCGGCTCCCGCGGTGGCACAGAAGAAGAAGCAAGGTTGTTGGACTTGCGGCCAAATCGGACATCACTTGTCCGCATGCCCAAACGCTCCACTCAAGAACAAATCAAAAGCAAAAGCCAATGCGACTGAAGCTCGAGCGGGCGCAACGTCAGTGGCTTATCTTGGAAACGGAGGTCCAAGCGATGACGAAGACGAAGAGGACGACTTTGACCCGGAGATTGACGTAGTTTGGGGATGAACCCCAAAGTGGATACATTGACGTTCGTAGGATCGGCAACTCCGGCAAATCTTGACGGCTAATTCCTCTCCGGTGGTAGTAAATATACTTGTTGTCACAACATCTTAGAGATCGTTCGTTCGGACCTGCCACACTTAAAAACACTCCCTCCACACCCTCAGACACCACTGATGCTTCCAGAGGGTTCAGTAATGATGAAGGTTTAGTACTGGGCCCCCCACTGGTATTTATGGTGGCTGTTGATGTGGAGGGCTTGATCTAAAGTGTGGCAGGTACCCCCCAACAGGTCCAAACGAATGATCTCTACGACATCTCCCTGTCTTCAATCGCTGATGGATCTCTAGCCCGATTAATCAAGTTTTTTTTATTTATTTGCCTCAATATTACCATTATCTTTCTGTCCCCCAAATATGAAAACACGCCGCTAGACCTTATAATTAGTGGATTTTTTTTCATTCTTTTAATTCAGTTTTGTTTTCAGCAAGGGGGTGTGTTGGAATACACATATGCTTATAGATCATATGTCATATGCATCAACCAAAACTTCAGTAATCTTGTATTTAGCTCCAACCAGATTACTACAGTTGGTTTTTCCCTAGTGAATCAAAACCATAACTTTCTCACTCACAAAGTGTCACTGGCTTGTCAGCCGTGAACTTTGGATCTTTCCCTTGCATTACACGCAACAAACAGAACCCTCAAGGGGGGTTCCATATTCAATAAGTGTGCTATCCTGAGGCACTACAGGAATACCTGGACATTGGCCAATGAAGCATTATTTAAAAGCCATATAATGCATGTGTGAAATTTTCCTGCAGCAGCTGCACCAATTTGTAGTGCTAGTTCCCTTTTTCCACTTCACTAACATTTTCATCAAGGGTTGGATAGCAGTGAATTTTTGTGTATAGCAGTATCTTTACTGTAGCAGTTTTGGGAGAAGATAATGGTAAATGGGATCGGACTTTAGCAGTAGACCTTCTGTTCCATGCTAAAAGGATGTATGCCACATATAGAGGGGTTGATCTTTTCCACCATTGCTACAAAGGAGATGGAAACAAACCAAAATAAATTTCAAGAGGGAAATGAATGATGACACAAAAGGTTCCAGTATTTCAACCTCTGTTAGTTGTAGAATAAAATTGCTTCTATTAATCTGTGGCATGCCAGCTATCTTAAAAACCAAAGAAAAAACATACATTGTGAGGTAAAATTTCAATCTTGTGGTTTTGTCCTTGAGGCTTTTAAAGTTCAACACCCTTTTTTGGGACAATACCTAGTAGACCTGGTAGACATCAAATATTCACTCAGAGTTCCATTAGTATCAGCAGGTGCATTAGTTTTATTCATAGGCTGCTATTCTTTAAGAATTAAACTTTGCCAGAAAAAAAACCTGATGGAAGTTTTTTTGGTAAAGATTCTCAAGCCTTCTCATGAGATCCAAAGGCTTGGTATGGTTCAATGCCAGGGTTAGGTCTCACATATGACATTAGGGCTAGTTATTCAAATATAATTTCAGTGTCTGGATAAATTTGATACAACGAATTAATCCACTCTTGGCTGTAATGAAACATCAGATAGCTGTTCCAAATATGCAGTGATTCTTCCAACCCTAAAAGTAATCTTATCAAAGTCCCTTGTGGACTTTGGCTAAAGGTTTTCCAGATGGACTTGCACACCCTCAACAATTTTTTGGCCTGAGCCTGAAACTGTTCTAGCCCCTTTTGACTTGGCACTCTGGGTCAGGGGAAATAGAAGATGTTCCTTGCACTTTTTTACAACATGGCTCAGGATTAAAAATCAGGTAGAAATGAGCTATTTTGGCCAAACAAAATGAAATTTGTAACATTCAAGGCCTATTTTTGCTAAAATATTTCATATTAGCATGCTTTTTAATGCTGAGACATTTTGCAAACTAAAGTGCAAAGAAAGTGTGCTGTTTCCCCCACCCCAATTGCTATTTCTTCCCAGAGCCAAATAGCTATTACTTGAAGTGATTGATTGGCCCAGATTGACTCCCATCCTACACCATGAAAAATTTGAGGTCAGTATATGTCAGGTGACATGAAGCTAACTCCTGCCTTTATTCCAGTGTTACTTCAAAGTCAAAGGGTTGGGACTCCCTGATGACCACAAAGGGCAAATTGTCATTTTAGCAGACAAGCACCAGAGTAACAATGGAGTTGTAACATATGTCACTTCATGTCACCTGACACCTACTGCCCTCAGATATTTCCTGGTGCTAAGTGTTGAATTCCAACAAATATGCAAACCACTACATCATATAGAGGGTTGGAAAAACATTGGACCCCATCCTAAATGGTGAATTCCAACTGAACAACTATGCAAATCACTTCATCATATAGGGGGGGTTCAAAAACTAATGTCAAACTCTGAATGACTCCCAGGAACATCTGTCAACATCCCTGGGAGTTGTTTTCCCAATCCCCCCCTGCCTGCAAGATTGGGAGTTGTCATCCCTTTTTTTTGGAGAGGTTCAAAAATAGCTTGTGTATTTTGGAGCAGGAAGGTTGGTTGGATCCTTTGTGCTGTGGGACCTAGGGATGGATGTCAAGGCTCAAACATCATCCTTCCTGATGTCGCAGGCATCTACATTTCAATGAAAATGATGTCCATGATTCAATACAACTTACACAACAATTCACTATGGAGTATTACAATTACAAACAGGATTTATGTTGATTAGAATGAAGCTTATGAAACATGGTAATCAAGAGCAGAGAGGAACAGCAAGGATGGAGAGATAGGTAATACAAGTGCAGATGATTAAAGAGAAAAGAAAGCAGGTAGATGCGAATCCAAGGATGTGTGTAAACTAGATTTTAAATCAATGAGCCAGATTGAGTAGTACTACTGTTACCACCTTGAAGGTTGTTATTGGCAGATTGATTGGAAATGATATATTTCGAAACTTTTAAGAAATATTGTTCGATAAACTGAAACAAAATTCATTCGAATTCATAGGAAAATTAGTAAGGATAGTGATAATTATTGCCCGACTGCCTAAACGAAATCACTTACAGCACTCATCCACCACTGATGCCAACAAAAAAAGTTAAGACAGACAAAATCAATATCGTCAGTGAATAGCAATAATAAAGCCAAATTGCGGTAGGAAAGATATAAGGAAGAAGGAGGGGTGATAGTAAGAGGGGAGTACACTAACTTCGTGTTCAGAGTTATGCGCTTCAACCAAGTTATGAGCCAGTTCATGAGCAAAGGTCGAAAAAGTACCGATGAGAGCATTCGATAGGTTTCCTTTTTTCACTTCCTCGTCATACCACCTTCAACACAAACATGCAAATATTTCCATACCCCGATGTCCCGTTGAGATGGAGTAAAAGAGTAAGTTAAATCACCAAACTCAGGAAAGCAAGTTTCAAATAAGTCAAACAGAAAAAAAAGAAACTGACGATAAATAATATCTCAAATTAAAGAACAAGCTTCCATTCCGATTGAATGCGATAATAGGACCTTCCAAATCATAGAAGATGTGCAAGCTATTTGGATCGATGTCGAAGATTTCTTTTATATTAGAAAAAAAAGGGAGGGGGGGGGGAGAAAAACCGATTGTGCGAGAGGAGATTATGGAACGCGTTAGTCAAACATCGAAAAAATCAGGATTAGAAATTCAGATGGAATCAAGAGAGACGAACCGCCAACAGGTTTAACGACGAGCTCGACATAACGAACGATGGCGTCGCCGAATTGAAACAAGACCAATTCGCCGTTGAGGTTATGTTGATTGATCGACCGGGAGACGTAGAACCTCAAGCCGGAGATTGTGCTTAAGAAGGTAAGGTCTTCCCTGCTACCTTTGGGGTCGCAGTAGCTGGCCTCGGACTCTTTCACCGGTTTGGTATCCGGAAGCGTCCGAATGTCTGCGTTCGTGTCTGGTCTGGACACGTTGATTGCTTTGAGTAAGTTGCTTCGTATATCCGACATCGGTGTTATCTGGCTCGTCAAGAATCATCAAGAAAGAAAGGTGGTTATTAAGACAGCTAGCGATTTTCTGCCACAAACACGGAAAGGGGAACTTCCGAGGTTTTAAGAATGAGCTCACTTGTATCGGTGGCTTGATCGCAGGTTGCTTTGTGATTTGGGATTCTTGGGAGATCGATTGAGAGGAAATGGGTGAATGAACTGGGGCTGAAGGAGCCACAGAGAGAGGAGAGTAAGGAGGAGGGTCATTGGAGCTATTGTCATTCAATATTTTCCGACGCAAGGCGCTAAAGATTCCGCTCTGTCTCTGAGAGATGGGAGGCATTTGGGGAGGCGGCAGAGGGGATGGGACGACTGGCCGTCGCTCGTAAGCACCATGTGCGAATTTCTCCTCGACCCGCTTTCTATGATCTTCCTTCTCGGCAGAGAGCGCCTTCCGAATAAACCCTGGATCAGCATCCGGGAAGCGCTCCTCTAGCCCCTTGGCATGGCTCTCCAGTTGCTCCGGAGTTAGCGCATTCGCATCATCCAGTTGTCGTTGCAGCTTGGCTTCTCGTGCTCGCTGTAACACAGCATCTCGCTCTGCTTTCCGTGCATTGATAATCCTGTTTGGTGTGTCATAGAATTAGCTGATCACTAAATATAACAAGATCAGTAGATCTACATACCGATCTACATTCACCCCTCGCCTTTTGAGATTCTTCAAACTGGTTTGTAGGATGGTCATCTAGACGGAACCCAAGGGAAAAGACCCGACAGAAGAAGAGGGCGAAACAAACTCTTGGTCAACAAAATGTGAAACGATGAGGGAAAAGATAACCAACTTACGAAGAACAAAGAATCACTTAGTTTTTGATGCGCTAGGATCAATTTACAAATCGAACTGGCGAGCTCGAACCAATCGATCTCACCCTTCCTAACTAAGTACAAGACCATCGAGTTCCGGCCTTCCATAGAAGCAGCCGCGGTAGATTCCAGGACACTCGAATGAGGTTTACCGAGGTAGACCAGTTGACGTTGTAGGGAGACCTGCTCGACCGATTTGACAGTCAAATGACGCTTCAGCCATTCCGCATCCCTGATCACATCATCACGCGCGCCTGTTTGTCGCTCGTGAAGAAAAAGCGCCGTCCGCTCGATCAGTAATCTTCGGATCTCTTCTGATCTTTCGGTCTGTTCAGGAACGGATCGTTGGATTCGAAAAGATTCTTTCACCAGTTGAGTTAGTCTTGGTGCACCCAACGACTGTGGAGAGAAAAAAATCCAAAGCGCGTGAATCAGAATGTGTTGGACTTTCGGTCAGTCCAAGAGGAAACTAAAACTTACCTCGGCTAATTGTTCGAATACTTCCTCTTGTGGGCATGCAATAATGATGGTTGTAAATTGAGAATATGAGTGTGAGTCATCGATGATGACCACATCACCTGGAAGTGCCAAAACATGGACAAATGGTTGGCCAGCTTCGATCTCATCGTCCTCGTCTTCGAAGGCCGGTGCTTTGGTCGCCACACCCGAACTTGATGATGAAGAAGCGACTCTTCTCGATCCGAGAATGAAGGCTGAGCGTTGCATGGCCTTTTTGAGACCGTGGCCCAGGAGATGGACATTAGCGGCGATGTTTCTTAGGACTTGCAGATACTCCTCAGCCGAGCCGGCCAGGGCGTAAAACTTGGCAGGATCGGCGATGAGCATCTGTGCGATTTCTTGGACCGTCGGCTCGTTCTTGACTCCACATGCTAACAGAAACGGACGCGCACTCGGACCAAAGTCGATGTAGGTAAAAAGACTTTTAAAGGGCCCCTGGTTCGTGGAATCTGCCGATTGGAAAAAGCATCCACCCGGTCCAACATGGGTGGTTTCTTTGCCAGAAATTGGAACGAATTTGGCCTGCTTCAAAGTCTGAAGTTGTGACTGGGAGAAGTCTGCAACTCGGGTAGAGAGATACTCGAACACGGCTTTAGCCTTCTTAGTATCAGACGGCGGATGCTGTAGTAGTCGATCTAACAGCTGTTGTGGATCCGGATTTTGCTTGAGACCAAACTTTTGATAATCAGCAAGGTATTTATTCTGGAGCACATTGAAGCCCATCACCGCAGCTTCTGGGTTGGAGTAAGCATCACCAGGTTTGAACAGTCCGCCATCACAAGGTACGAAGGCCGGCATCTCAGAATTTGGACGATAGACGGCCCGGTAATCGGCAAAATGTTCAAGGAAAAATTGGAGGGCTTTCTCCCTCAACTGAACATCTTTTGGATTGGCGGCAAGGTCCAACAAGGCATCGACACTTGGCATCTTGTTCAAGCCCAAGAAAAACAGCAGTTTGGCTTCCTCCGACGTCGAGCGCCACTTTCCGGGCCATTCGACCAAGGGTAACTGGAGTTCTTGATTAGCAACTGAAGGCTCGTATAATTGGCTGGCAGAGTACCTTTTCGTCTTCGGCTTCAGTGCTTGTCCATCCGGTCCTGGAGGCGGTATAGCTTTGGGCTCGCCTTCCTTTGGAAGCCAGCTGGTTTGTCTTAGTTTGTCAACCTCCGTATCCGTTAGGATATCTTTGACGCTGACCAAGTACTTCACCAAGTCTGCATGGTTCCATTCACCGCTTCCCAGTAACCTCGAGAAAACCATTTGTAGCTGAGCAGGAAGTTAGAATGTTAAAAGATCTTATAAGCGTGCTGAATCTAGTTGAATTATTTTTAAGATTATGACCTACTTCTACATGCATCCTGAGCCCAATCTCAGATAAAACTTTATGCATTAGGCCTTTGACTGGAGTCCCACTGGGTAAGCAGACAACAGCCAAATCTTGAAACAGGGTGACGTTTGAATGGTAAGCATCAGAAGGTTTCCGCATTCCATGGCGAGTAGGAATAAAGACTTTGTCGCTTAGATAAGCACTAATCTCGGCTCTCTGATCGTTGGATAAACTTGTCCAAGCTTTGCAGAGAATGTTGAGCAGTTGTTCGGCTAACGGTGGAGATTCAGTAATCCGATCGACACCCTTGAGCTCTGGCGAGAAGAGGTGGGTAGTGAATTCCAAGATCGTCAGTTCCCGGAATCCAAATACCCGTTTCAATGCTTCAGAGTTGATAGATTTCGTCAAACAAAATGGCAGACAGTGGGCCGGGAGCGGCACGTCAGTGGGTATCAATTTGATATTAATAAACGTCGAGGCTTCGCTGAGAGACATGATTGTATCTGATTGTTCCTTAGGAGCATGCTGAATGGAATCCGGGGCTTGGTATTTGAAAACTGCGCATCTCTGAAACCTCTTCAAGAGTGACCTATCATAGCCCTGGATGCCAGTCAGACTGATCCACCAATTCAAGCACTCCCGCATCTCTTCGACACTAAGCACCCTGCCTTCCAATTCTTTAAACACGTCCTCAAGTGTGATCTCTGAAATCATCCGGCGACTGCGTAGCTTGCCGATCAGTAAATGTCCATCCTTGGAGACTTCGTTGGGTAATAATGGTACATTTTTGATAAATCCACTCAATTCCGTATTGGGCAGCCGGACTTGGTTAGCCGGCATTGGTCCAAGGGTCGATGGGACTGTCAGAGTATGCTGACGATCGCAGCGGAAAAAACTTTCTTCCGACTCGAAGGATACCGTGCCGGCGGGAGTCGACGCATAAAATGAGAAGAATTGCATAGCATGTAACGCCCGTAGAGTTAGCTGACTCCGTTTGGATTCGTCTTCAGTTTTCTTCCACAGGCCTTCAATTTCCTTCAATTCTCCCTCGTAAACTACCCTTGCCAAAATGCCCCCAATTGCGAGTAACTCCTTATTCCAATCGGCAACATATTTTGCTTGTAAATCTAACGACTCCCGTTCAACGGTTGGGATGAACCTAGCGGCCACGGAGCCGGAGAATCCAGTGGTTTGATGTGTTGGGAAACCAATGAAAACTCGACCTTGAACATCCAGGTCAGAGATCAGACCATCAAATACTGCACGCGCGGTTTCATCTCCGCTCAACAGTTTCGAAAGTCCGGATTTTGAGCTGCTCAAGTCCTTCCCAGCATCAAATTCATCCTTATTAGTCCAAATCAAGGCATATTGAGTCTTTTTGGGCGGTGGCTTCTTGGTAGCTCTCTCGAGCTCGGCTCTGAAAGCGGATGGGATCGAGACGTTGATGTTACCAGTGACGACTCGTAGGAAGACAGAGGCCTTTAAGCTGGACAGTTGGCTTGAAGGTTCTGATGATAAATCCATGGGGGTTGAGGGACTTGTTGAAGAAGGAGTAGGCGCCGATGAAGAGGTTTTGGTAAAGGCAGACAACATCCTCGAGGCAAAGGAAGATGTTGAGGTGGCAGCGGCCACGGCAGCATTCTTGATTGCTAGTTTAGACTTGGGTTTGGAATATTGAAGGGTCCATTTGAGGATATCAGTATCGATCTGGACGCTAGTTTGCTCGACCGATTGTATCTTCATCATTGAGGATGAGGTAGACAGCGTGATATTTGAAGGGGTCGATAAGATCTGAGGTGGGGCGAGTTTCTTGTCTAGCTTGCACATCAGATGGTCGTCAAAATATAAGCTAACTGATCTAATTTGGGTGGTGAATGCTAAGCTGGTCGCCAAGAATCTTGAAAACTCGAACGGGGGTGGCATTGGGGAGGGAGATCGAACGTCCATGATAAATGAGGTCCATTCCGAAGGGCTTGGGTTGATACCTCGACGGGTGACCAATTGGTCAGGGTTCTTGGTACTCCAGTTAAAGCCCATGATTGAAGGTCCCGACAAGACGATTGGGGAATCACATATTGACCATAGTGCGTAGAAACCAACCTGGTAAAAAATATGAAAATGGTTTTAACAGATGTGACAGAATTACAACAGAGTAAAACACAACAAAAAAGACTCACACCGAATGCGCCAATTTTTCTGTTGACATAGTTGAAGAAGTTTGATGAGATCCCATCAGTTGATAGATTTAAGAAACCAGTTATATAGAGTGATCACTACTGACGATTCATCTGGGTTTCCTTCAGCGATTTTTCTCAGTCGTGCTAATGATTACAGAATTAAGTTCGATGCATGTCAGTCAAGCCTGGAAGGAAATATGATAATGATTATAAGGCCTTACCCCAATCTTGATCACGAAATGGAATCCCATTATTCCTGACGAGGACTCTGGAAATCTTTTTAGTAGTCAGGTCAGGTAAGGTTGATGATGAACTAGCAGCACTAGAGGATTGAGTGATTGGCTGGCTGTCTATAGGTTGGGTTGAATTTGAGGTGGTGGTAATACTTGATAGAAACTTTATTTCGACTGAGCTAGCCGAAGCATCGTCGGCATTCTGAAGAAGTTCCCTGAAGACGGTATTTTCGCCAGAATATCTTGCAAGCACCTTATCGATCAATGCCCTCTGGTTCACTTCCACTGCCTCGTCAGGAACGCCCTCGAGAGCGGATGCAAAGTCGGCCATGTCTCGTAATCGGTTAGAAGAAGGCTCGTTGGTTATTCTGAGATGGTGGGTTGAATGGTGAGGAAGACCCGTGGCAGAGGCCGAAGAGAGGGTGGGAAGAAAGTAGAAGAAGAAGAAGAACGATTATGTAATCAAAGTTGGACACTTCATTGACCACTGCACTTGGTCACCAAGGAGCACACTACATACACAACTTGAATGGGAGAATCCTCAACCAGCAATCAACTGCAGTTAAAAACAAAAGGTACATCTTGTAACCTTACGAATCAAACTCAAGTACCATATTAAAACAGTTGATGGTATGGGGAAGCTTTGCTCTTCAAATCTTCATGTAGATGTTAATCGAGACCCTAAAGGTCTAGATGTTTGAAGGGAAATCAGGTCAAAGAGGCTATAAAGCAATTCTATAAGGTTTTCAGACAGGAAACTCTCCAACACTTCAATAGGACATTATCAATGTTGTATTTTCATTTTTGTTAACAATTGGACCAACACCTCCAACTATTATGAATCTAACAACAATGTAAAAATACTGGGCTACTACACCAAAGTGTGCTTTTTGGCCATAAGAGCATTCACATTGGTCGGGTTAAGCTAGTTAACCAAAAGCTTGATTTCAGGCTCGCGGTCGATAAATTTAGTGATTGCTAACCTGAAACTTAGTGATTTTGTGGGGAGTTGTCCTCCTGCAGTTTGTTAACCCGGACGGATGTGTTTGACACCACCCGGGTTTCCTAACCCAAAACTCAACCCAACCAATGTGAATTCTCTGAAGCATAGGATAGTGGCCCCTTTTTAATTCTGCTGATGCTTGGCAGCTGTAACATGGCTGTGTCATGGAGTGTACTTGTACCTGTGGCCATTTGGCACTAGGCAACTCCACCACAATTGCTAAATTGGGTGCATGTTTACTTGGTTTGATGGCACCACTTTGAGAAAATTTTGAATCTTTTTCAGTGAAATTGTAGGGATTTTGCTCTTCTCTGCTCTCATTTGAATTTTTACTTCTCTCCTATTTCACTTCTAAGTTCTACTCTCACACATTCCTTCCCCTTTTGGCCCTTCTCTTTCTTCATTGCTTCCTCTTCTTGTCTCCTGTTTCAACATGTTTTGACAAACAGCTCCAATACTCACAACCACAACTCCATTGATCCATTAACCTATCCGCCCAAGAATCACAAGTCATACTTGATCAAACAAACATATGGGAAGCCTTCAACATTGAAGAACAGCTCAAATCCCCAGCAGTCTTCCTTCTCTTAAGCACAAACTCAACTGCTTTGTCTAAACAACCATGCTCTGCTGCACAAACTTCATCAACCACTTCGCTGTCCACTCTTCAACATTCAACCTAAATTCAACATTCCCTTCAGGTTTTTCCTCATCATCTCAGCCATCCTCAATCTCCTTTCACTGTTCTCTCCCATTGAGCAATCTCACTAATCTCAAAGACACCTCAATGCCTACTCCAATTATAATTCCTCCCCTTTGATTACTTCAACTCACTCAATCAACTTTCTCTCTGAGCTATTGCCAATTTGGTGAGAAAACTAATAGCCAATTTTTTCCTCTATTTTTTGATCAAGCTTATTAACCTTTTGTCTTTTCTATTAAAAAACTGTGGTGATTCTATCTTAGCACCTAAAACTTGTCTCTATTTGATATTGGCTATCTCAGTCTGTCTGTCTTGTTACAGAACCCTGGAAACCCCATATAAATGTGGGTAACCTAAATGTATGAATTTTTCATAAAAAAACAGAAAGCACACACACAAAAGGGGTATGAATTAGTTTGGTTGCCTGAAAGGTTACACACCAAACAGGCGTAAAATTTATGAATATCCGCTGGAAACCCCCCAAAATAGCCTGGTCACTGCATCTTCCAGGGGGTTTCCTCAATTTCCAGGGGATTTTAGGCCGAGCATACACACAAAATGTGTATGAATGGGCCCAAATATGATATTCCCGGTGTGGAAAGCAAGGCGCGCCCTAGGGTATTTCTTGTACCTCTCCGCTCCGCAACGCGTCTTGCTGCGGTTTGTTGTCCGGGGTAACTTGCTTGATGGTCTTGTAGGTAGGTAAAATAACACTCTCGATGCTCCCCGCTCCTTGTAGCCCCTCCGCAGTATACCCTGAACCCCCGTTCCGCAGTCGGCCGTGATCCCCGGCGTCCGCCGATGCCCGGACTCCCCGCAGTAAGCTTTTCAGAACCTTGTGCATTCGGCTTACTTTTCTCCGCTTTCCCGCGCCTCGGAAAGCTAGACTTTCCACTAATGCACCGCCGCTTTCCTCAGCCTGCCTGTGTAGCGTCAGCTCCGCGTGCTTTCCGCATCAGCGCCGCGAGCATTCCGCATGCCCCAAACAAACCGGCCAAAGCTTTGGCCAAGGCGCGCTCCCGCCACCACACCGGTGCCCCCCAATGTATTAATCTAGTCCAAATTCCCGTATTTTTGTCACCCAAATTTATAAGGGGCTTCCAGGGTCCTCTTGTTACTCATCAAACACAACTCATGTTGTGGTACGCCTTTTCTCTCTCTCTCTCTCTCTCTTGAAAATACTTGAATTTTTCTTTTTTGTCTGAAATGTTGTTTTATTTTATTTTTTACAGTTCTGGTTTTAGTGTCAATTATAATTCCTGTTTGTCATCAGAAATGAGTTTTGGAAATCACAAGAAAAATTCAAGCAACTGCTAACAGTTGACATGCAGCAAGCTCCAATTAAACCTCAATGCAAGCTGAATTCATTGTGTTGACATAATTTGGTGGTCTCACTCTGCAACTTCAAAGGGGTGGGCCAGAACAAAGCACCATAAAAGTGTGAATTGAACTCAAGTTCAGTGCGCAGTATGGTCTGAGCTGTTGCATGTCAACTGACACCAGTTTCTTGACTTTTTCTTGTGGTAGGAAGTTCATTAAAATTGTGCCAAATCACTCAAAATTACCAGTTTTGGGCTGTAAATATTATATGAGCAGTCTCAAATATGTGGAAAGAGCATTTGAAATTAGGTTTAATCTTCCTACTCACTCTCAAAATGGCCATTTTTCAGAATTTGATCAAGCAGGGCTGAGGGAAGCCTAACAAGATTTTCAAGGATCAAAGAAACCTTATTTTTGTGAACCCTGGTATCATGAAAAAACTTTGGCATTATGGAAATCAGTTTAATAGGATATCAAACTTTCAAAAAAAAAAATCAGACAATTATAGAAGTTCATTAAAATTTATGTTTTTTGGAAGCTCAATTGGAAATTATTTTTCAACTATTGTGTTAATGAAATGTCAAAAATTCAAATATGGATCTATAAATTTGAAAATCAGTTTGAGTTTGTCTTCAATTTCTTGTTCTGAAATCTATTCCCTGATGTTCTATCATCTAATTGATTCCAGTGTGTGTAGAGAAGTGTGGACGCTTTTTTCAAGCTTTCAGGGTTGACTTCATTGGATAAATATTCAATCAATATTGCTTCATCAATTTGGAATGATTTATGCTCCTTTCCATTTTGATCTTCCCAAGGAGCTTTATTTCTATCATTCTTGATTAATCCAATCAAGGGGATACCTGTATTGTCAGATTCTTTGAGAATCATGTTCTGGATCCATTCAAACAACCTACCCCTACTCTGTTGGTATTCCAATTTTGTCATTTCTTTTTCTTGGCTGACTTTAAGATGAATGTAAGTTGTTGCTAGCACTAGCTTCCAGAATTTGTTATACATCACATTAAACCTGACAACACCTTTATTTGGGGTGTTTTCTAAAATTCTAACCATCTGATAATCCGGCATTTTCTTGAAAAAGTAGACAGAAACCGGTAACTTGGGATGAACAGATCGAGCAGATTGTTTAGCGTTTTGGTCCTCGTTCAATTTCTTGAGTTGATATTTGAAATACTCCAGTGTTGATTTCGGAAGATAATCACCTGAAAGAGGCCAACGTTTTGCATTAACTATAGTCTCAAATTTGTGGTCGTTTGTGAGTGATTGCCGTAATTTTTCATTGCTCTTTTGCAGAGCTGCACTAGAAAAAATCTTGTCGGATCCTCCTGCATCATTAAGTGCTTCTGTAAAATTAACTTTGATTAATCAAGATTCATAGACAATCAGTATGAATGTGTTAAAATCAGATTGGATTCAAGTTTGACCGTGTTTTATTGAGAAGCAGAATTTATTTTAATTCTCTTGACCTAGAAACTCACTTGGATCTTCTTCTTGGAATCTTTGTACCAAGGAAGTGGCTAAATTCGGTGCAAGCTTTTCCTTCTCCTCGCCATTCAAGGAGAAGTAATGAATTAATTCCACCTGTGAATCACCAAATTCATCATCTTCACCCCATTCCTGATGAGATAATTTCACCATCCCAAAGATTGGAAGGCGCTTCTCTTTTGATGTCAGAAGTTCCTCGTCAAGCCAATCAAAAAGTTTTCTCTGCCGAACGCTATGCATGAAGGTTGGAATATTCAAAGCGTTGAGTTGTTTTTCATGAATTACATACATCCATCTGATCAATTGGTTATATTTTACGGCCAAAATGTCATTTTTTGGAGTTTCATCCAGTGAAGCGTCTAGCACTTTCAATATTGTGACTGGGGGCTTGTCCTTTTCACGTTTGAAATATCTTCCAATTTTGAGATGTTTGTGGGGAATGAATCGCGCACCTCGCAATGGTGAACGCTCACTTGATTCAATTTCTTTGCGAAAATTGTCCCGGCGATTCTGGAGGAAATGTATATTGTGGTAGGCTTCAATGGAAACCTGACCTGGAGTGTTACCATTGAACCTATCCGACTGAACCAGATACTGCTTCAATTTTCTCTTTTTTGAATTCGTTTCAGATGACCCCAGGACCTTGGTGTCTACTGGCTCGCTGGGCAGTTCACCGCTGGACAATTGACCAACTATTGATACATGAGTTAGTCAGTTGAATTAAAGCTGATTCATCTCAATCCATTCAGGCATAATTAAGATGTGCTCACCTTGATGGAAATTATTACTTGGCATGTTATGGTTGATTCCCTCGATCAATCCATCGTGAGTTGCGAGTGTTAGATCCGACTTGGAGTGCTCCTTATCAACTTCATTATGGGCTGCAAAGCCCCGTGAAGCATCTCTCAGTCTCTATCATTCTTGATGACGATGGATACAGGACATGAACTTACTGGAATCAAATTTGTTGGGAGTCTGAGAATAAGTATCTGATGCACCGGCATAAGTTGTAGCAGGACTAGCGGATGTAGAAGATGGAATTGAATGATTATCGACTAGGTTCAGTTCATTTTGCAACTCGAGTAGGATGTTTTGCCAGTGATTGAATAGGCCTGAGTCTTTTTCCAACTCGAATGAGATGTCTTGCCAGTCAGATGAAAGGTCAAGCTCGCTGCCTGAAAGATATTGAACTGGCTGTGGCAAGGAATGAAGTTGATCTTGTGATACTTTTCGTGACTGTTCCCAATTAGCTTGGGAAATACTGGAAGGAGGTGATGTGGATGGCAACACAGGGCCGATGGGATCCTGTTTTGAAAAAATTGGCTCTTTGATTGGACGCTCCCCCGGCCCAAGTAAATCCGTATTAACAGAGCCCGTAGGTGAACCTGTTACAAGATAGCAAAAAATCAAACATAGGGGATAGTGGAATCTGAACACGGTTAGGAATAACATCTTGAAGAGGCGAGGCACATTACCAGCTCACTTTACTATAACGACATGGTATTTATGAGGAGCTCAACTTTCATGTAAGATCCATGATCTCGACTTACTCGTCGCACTCAAGCAGAGCGTGTACCTCAATCACACACGTTTGTTTGCTTTGACCTGGCTGCTCCAACGAGATAATATTTTCCATGATGTTTTGGCGTGGAGGTTCTCGCGTCGACTCTCAAGTTATCATAAACATGTCAGATTCAGTTCCTGTACTAGTCAACGAGCTGCATAAGATGTACGAATTCTTTGACCAGCTTAACAAAGTTGTCATCATATTAGCGGGGTTCAAGATAGCGTTTTTCGCCTCTCACACCCGTTTTTTTGTTTCTTGCTCGAGCATTGCTGACATAAAATTTCTCAGCACAAATTTAGGGCCTCAAGTACCATAGCACCTCAGCCAATTTTCATCTTCAGTTTTGATCTTTTTATTTTTCACCAATCAAAATTCATCTTGGGGTTGGCACTGAAAATTTGGTTTTTGTACTGTGGGAAATTGGGTGTGCATGGAGCACCATTTCTGGCAGGGTCAATTTCCAACTTGAAAATTGGAAATTGACCTCAAAATTGGTACAGGCCCCTAAACTCTTGTGCTAAATTTTAAGCCTGCAGCAGGGCTACAGTGTCTCATGCAAGAAGAAATTTCTTCTTGCAAGAAGCTATCACAAACCCCCCTATTCCAATATTTGTTTTCAGTTGTCTGATTTCTCTCACTTCCAAGGTAGGTTACTCACAATTATGGTCACATTGTTTTTCCTTCCCAAACTTCAAGCTACAATTTTCAAGTAATGAGACTTGGTGAAGTGGTCCAAAAAGGGTTTCCAAATAATGATTCTGAAAATAAAAATGTGAAAAAATTATTTCTGAAATGTGGGAAAAATTATAAAGCCCCATTTGGCAGCGTCATAAATTTAGGTGTAATATTGCTTGATTAATTCAATAAAAAATAAACCAATGGGGAACATGTAATAAAATTGTTACTTGGGAAAGTTCAAATATGTACTGGTTTCATTAATGTTGTAAAAAAATTGATATGGTATTGCAAGTGCGTCTGGGCACAGGCCCAAGTTGGGCAAAAAATAGGCCAAGCGCGCTGGGCCAATCTTAAAGCACACTTGGCTGATTTTAAAGCCTGTGTGGCACCCTCCCAACCCCCACTTGGCATATGTCAAACTTGGCGGGGGTTGGCACGAAGCCTCGCTTGGCCGAAATCAAGCGAGGGTGCCATGCCGCCCAAAAGTCAATGCACCCCATAACTCAAGGGGTGCATCGACCTTCCACCCCATCAATGCAATTAGATTTATCCTTCTTTCAGCTTCGATTTCTTTTTCGATTTGTTCCCTTTTTTTCCTCTCTTTCTTTTTCCATCCAATTGTTGAATGATGTCATTTCCAGCAGTCTCCGTCCAAGGCGGAAGTTGTTCAAATGCAATCAGCACTCTTGTTAAAGCAATCAATGACTGTCCGAAACAAAAAAAAAAATACATGTACATTATCATGGGGGGCATGTTGTATGAATTAGAGCTTGTATAACATATAGATGTCATTGAATAACAATAATGATAATAATAATAATAATAATAATAAATCACAATCAGGTAAGAGGCATGCGTAGGGGATAATGTAATTGACATGTGTTGATTTTGATTTGAGAGAAAAAACCCCTATTCAGAAGGTGCAGACAAGACTGGGCCAGTGATCTCTTGGAACTCAGCACAGGGACAATAAAGTCGCTGACAATGAGAAAAGAAATTTTGAGACTTTTCCGGGGTAATCACTTTGTCGATCCCTTTTTTGATTTCTGTTACTAATGTTGCTTGATTGGGCGGCTCCTTTGATCGGACGTAGGATTTGATTGAGTGGAAGCTGTACTCAATTGGATTGAGGAAGGGTGAGTATGGAGGGAGAAATTCAATCTTGATCGACTTGGAGTCATCAAGTGATTTTTTCACCTCCTCGAAGCGGTTGCCTTGATGGATTGGTGCATTGTCCATGATGATGATCGATTCCTGAGGTAACCGGGCACCAAGGCTACCAAGAAACAAGCAGAATTCATCCGAACCAACCCCTTTTGCCTTAGTATTGTCGGCGTTAAGCAACTCGTGGTAAACAAAGCCTTCTTCTGAGAGGGCCCCTATCAAAGTCACCTGCTTGGCCTTGGGCACAAGGCTCAGGACCGCAGGTTGACCTTAATTGCAACCAAAGAAAAAAATCAAAGCATCAGTCAAAAACAGAAAACAGAAAACAAAAACAAACAAAAAATCTACCCAGAGGGAGAGTATCCATGCGCTCAGCCAGAGTGAAGATCAAATCCTGATTCATCGACAAAAGTAATCTTGCGCCCAAGATCCAAACCACAACGGTTTACAAAGTTTGCCTGCTGCTCAATCAAGCCCGGCTTATTCCAGGAAGCAGGGATATTAGTAACCTGTTTCCATGATATATCCATATCATGGATCAGGTTACTAATTGCCTGAGTCGAAACCTTAAGGCTAAATCGTTCGTTGAGGAATTTCTCCATTTTGGCCAAGGTTGTGGTCGATTTTGTGTCAAGCTCAAAAAGCAGCTCAGTCTTCATCTCACCTGTGAATTTCGATGGGTGTTTTTTATGCGTCTTGACAAGGTTGGGATCTTCAGCCTTGATACGCTGGATCTGACGTTGGGAGACCTTATATGCCTGCATGGCATCAGAAATCTTCATTGCATTTCCAACGACATTTTCTCGGATTAAATTTCGAACCTCAGGCTTGATGATCGCATTTGGTTTGCACTCCTTGTGCGTGAGGTGATTGTTCTTGTAAGTTTTTTTTGGTTTATCTTCTCTTTTGCTTTTTGAACCCTTTCTCTTTGAAATGTTTGTTGGTTCAACGCTCGCAGCTCCTCGGCAAGGTCTCGAGCTCGTTGCTTATCGGATTCAATATCCAAGTCATCCGGGTCCATGATGTTTGATTTGGACATCTGTGTTAAAACTAACAAAAACAAAATAGAATTAGAATCAAAGAATAAAATGAAATACGATAAAATAGAATAAAGAAGAAAAAGAAGACGTGTACCGTGATTGGCAATCTTGTAAAGTGATCAATGAGGAGGAGGGAAGCAGCTCAGTAAAGTAACGGCCGCTGCGGCAGATTGTTGTTCACCATCCAAGGAAAGCGTTGGTCAACTGCGATTGGCGATCTCGACAAGTTGGTCAACTGTGATTGGCAAGCTCGTGGGACAATCAATGAGGCGAAGGGAAGCAGCTCGGCAAGCCAAAAACCACTGCACGGGTCGCTGTTTACCGTCCGAGGTTGAAAATGGATCGTTGTTTACCATCCCAGGTCACAGTTTGTTGCAGACCCAGTCAACCGCAAGCAACGAGCGGTGGTAGGCAAAGCAGGAGCAATCAGTAGGTTTGCAAGTAAAGAAGAAAAAAGCAAAAAAAAAAAAAACTCACCACAAAGAGATATGCTGTTGAAGTTGGTGGTGGCTGCGGCACAGCAAGAACTAGCATGTTGTGATGTGTTCTCATCCCCACTTGTTGAAAAAATATGTACTAATTTCAATCTGTTCCTTGACCCCAAGGAACTGTTGAGATACCTGTATGTAGTCATCATATGCTTGTAGTGAGGTATGCTTCTACTAAGCATGTCATCTCTACTAGATTGCCGGTCTCTTTCTCTTCTCCTCTCCTCTCCTCCTCGAAATCTAAACCAATATTTCTCACTCAGTCAACCTCACAGTGAGTTTGGTTGTTCATCTCCCTGTTTTGATCACCTGGGTGCCCCTCAACAGGAACAAGATACCATTACCCACAAATTGGCCAGCAATCTCCCGTAGTATTTACTGACGCCGCCGTGAGAACTCCTTTGGGAATGGTGACAGTCCTGTGAGGAGGAAATAGTAGATGAGATATATCACGTATGTAATGATCTACTACAACTGTTACGGCTGGTTTGAAAGACCTGCCCCTCTATTTTACTACACAAGAGTTAACACAACAATTTATTTATTGTTGTGGCAAAACTGATGACAGAGAAAACTATGTGTAGCAGTCTCTTATCAAACCTAGATCAACACGGATTCAGCAGACTATTTGAGTGGAAATGTTGAGTAAGAGGGGTGTTTTTTTATATGTTTATGTATTTTGAAAAATGATTGATGTAGGTACTGATAATGAATGGGAATTTATGAGATGATATTGAGGAAAAATGTGACTCTTGAAAGTGTGTTTCCCTTCCTCTTTTTAATCTTGGTTGAGAGCACAATGGCTTAATATCACTGTCTCTTGTTCAAGATCACAAGTTGTACTGGTTTTTACTTTCTTTTTTTTCCTATGCTTATCAATGTTGGAATGATCTCAATGGGGCACTTGATTAAGATCACACTGGTTAATGTATGGATTGATTGCTCTGTTCTGTCTGGTTGCTGATCAGATGAGATGCTGAGATGATCAGATGATCAGATGAGATGAGATGATCAAAAATTGGAATGAGGGGGGAAAGCCCCTCCTTAAATAGTCTATTTTACAACCCGGCTGACTTGTGGTTCTAGCCCTAACCAATAATCTATGAATGGCCAACTTGTGGTTCTAGCCCTATACAAGATTCTCAGTGTACATACAACAAATGTGGCTAACTTGTGGTTACCCTATGCAATGAAAATATTGAATATGTAAACTAACTAAGGCCAACTTGTGGTTTACATTATGCAATAAGCATTTTGTATGCAAATAAAATTTAAATCCCAAATAACTTTTGACTGAGTGGAGCTAGCCTAGTGGTTCCAGTGAGTGACTATGGGTTAAATGACCCGTAGAATGTGATTATTCCATAATACACTTAAGAATATATGTCCTTCTACATATTGGACTGTGACTTGATGCAATTTGATACTTGAAACACAATTGGCATACTACACCGCCAACCTCTTCTTTCCCTTTCCTTTTCTTTTCCTCAGAGTGATCATACCAATCAAACTAGCTACTATCAAAGTGACAATTATCCAAAATACAATGTGCCAACCACATCAGCACTTGTTAGCGGGCACACTCTCAGTGTCATAGGTTTCACTACCTAGCTGGAAGGCTTTAGTAACCTTTGCGACCCCTTCAACCCAGATCCTACTAGATTGCAGCGGTTTTGCCCTCTCTTAATCTTGCAACCTCTTCATGCCTACCATATACGCCTTTATCACAACTCTATCACATGTTCCCTTTACGACAGTTACCTCAACCTGTTAACTTGAAGTGTTATTGATCCCAACTCTCAGTAGACTTGAGATTGGTTGCCCTGGCTTGCGAGCTGCAGGGAGAAGCCATAAGCCTCATTAAGACATCTCTGAGCCAAGCAGTCACACACACACATACTGATATCCTGTTACCTATTCTTGCTACCTTGATCTTTGTGTTAAGTTATAGATACTACAACAGACACCTGTAAGTATCCCAAACCTGACAGGAGCAATGTGGGGCACCACATCTCATTGCTCACATCAATTTTTTTGATACAGCGCATTGGCATCACATCAATTCAGCAATGTGATGTGATGTGCTATAATTTGGCTGGATCGAATTGCATCACTTTTTTGATGCACTGCCACCGGTATCGAATTAATGTGGCTCACTAAAACAGAGCAATGCCAATACATGGCTATTCAATGCATCACATCACATCAGATTGTTTCACTGTAATCATGCTGTGGAATGCTGTTTTGATTATGCTGTGGGCTGTGGGTTTGTGTACTCCTGCCTTCTGTTGCCCTCAGTCAATGATATTTCCTTTGAGATTTGGCTTTGGCTGCTGGACCTTGGGCATTGAGTTTGGTTTGATTTTGATTTCTGGATAGGGTTCAACTAATTTGATTTACTGAGTATGGAGGCAGACAAAGATCATAGAATTGGGTTCGCCCTGATGGACATTTGGCAGTTTGTGATCAAATAAGTGTTTGTGTAGGAAGACCAAGATTCAAGATTGAAAACATTTATCTACATAGATACACAGGGAGTCTTTTGGCTTGGGCTTTGGCTGATGATACATGAAATACATGATTATTACTAGTATCGATCACTCTTCACATTCATTCATTCACTTCTTTCTAAATACATATGCACACACACATATATATTCAGATACTAAACAAAAACTTGTAGAAAAAAGAGAGAGAAAAAAATATAAGTCTTTCATAACAATGACAATTAAATAATTAAATAAGAAAAAGATGTAGAAGAAAGGGAAGTGAAGGGGGATGGTGTGAATGAACAAGAGGGGCAGAAGGAGTTTATTACATATAGAAAGATCCCAAACCGACCAGCAAAGGAGGCGAGGCTAGGGTGGGGTAGGGTAGAGTAGTACAAATGAGAGATCAAATGTCGGAGTCGGATAAGTCGAGACCAGTCGGAGGAGGTTCGCCAAGCAGACTATCGACCTCGTCGAAACGAGGCTAAGAGGAGCACAAAGAAGAAGAGGATGAGCGTTCTTGTGTGGATGGAAGGGAAACAAGAACGAGAGAAAAAAAAGGAAGTACTTGGATGCTCGTGGCGGTAGATAGGCGGTGCATATTTGGAGGAGGTTGAGTGAGTGAAGAAGCGTTAGGTATCGAAGGATCCAGAGCGGGACCATTAGTTGGAGCGTCCTTGTCATGAGTGGGCTTCA